ATCATATGATTTTCACTAATAGTGATGACTATTATTAGTTTTTAATACAGTAGACACCCTAAGAATTTTATCGATATTTAATGCACGTACACAAAGGAATAATTGTTAATATTCAATGAATAATAACATAAATATGATAAGCTTTTTTATGAGTACATATGATTATTTTGCCAACTTAATTGGTTTGTAGAGCATACTCTAACAATAATGATATATATATAGCATAATAAGTATAATTACAAATACATAAATATTATTGTGAATCTAGTTGGGCCATAGGGTACATCTAACAATAATATGGAAGATCAAGAGACGATTACATTTTCTAATAATTTTTTATTTATATATTTATTAGAATTTCACTTTTATTTTTTAAAAATAAGGCCAAGACAAGAAACAATTCTCAATGTGATGAAATCATCAAAGAGGAAAAGCTAGCGAGCATCCTTACCAGTATTAGAACTAGCTAGAAATCAAATTTAACAATGCCATAAAATTTTGAGTAGAACGCCCTTTTTCACCAACTGCTCTTTCCGCAGCTTCTTTCATCGCTCCAACCCTTTCCCTCATTTTCTTCCCTTTTTCTTGCACGAAAATCAAATCCATGCTACTCAATAATTCCTCCCTTGTGAAAACCCCGCCTTTAACTGTCACTCCCATCTCCCAAACCGCCTCTACCATCCTTGCGTTCACACTGTGATCCCCAAAAAACGGTCTGCATATCATTGGAACCCCACCTGCAATGCTTTCTAGTACCGAGTTCCACCCTCCATGAGTTATAAATAATCCCACCGCGTTGTGACCCAGCACCTTCTGTTGGGGAGCCCATGTTAACACCTTACCATTTCCTACTAACCCTTTAGGCAAAAGGGTCATCAAGCTATCTTTGAGGACCCATATGAAAGGCACCTTGCTGGTTTCTAGTGCTTCTGCTAGTGCCACAAGCTCGGCCGGAGGAGGAGTTGCCACTGATCCGAAAGCAATATATGCCACTGACGCTGGTTTCTGCTTGTCCAACCATGACAAGCAACCGAAGGTGTCTGGGACAGGTGGTTGTGGGTTTACAAGGTTGAAGGGTCCGATGGTAAGAAAGCTTTTCAACTTGGTCTTGAGGTAGTTGGTTGTATCAGGTTCAAGTTCTTCGAAAGAATTACCGAAAACTGCAGCCGCCTGCGGGAGCATTTGGCCCATCCGGTGCAGCATGCGGTGAAAAACAGATTCCAGGTTCCCAAAAAGGATTCCTGTGGGTAAGTCACAGATGCGAATTTTGGACATTTCTGGGACGAAAGAGAGGGTTTCATCTTCACGCCCCGCCAACCCTGCACAATCATTGATTGTTTCCCTTATGAGATCGGTGAGAACGTGAGAAGTGAGCGAGGTGGATGCTGACGTCCAACAAGGTATCCAAGGCACCCTTATTTCCTCTGCTATCTCTGCCCCGAACCAAAGGAATGCATCTGTGACCAAGCAGCTCACCCTTCTCCCGGTCTCTACCACTGCTACTTCTATTTCCTTCCGAAAGCTCTGCGGAGCTGTTTCCATAAACAAGTCAATGTCCTCTTGATGACGCCCGGAAAAGACATGGCCTTCCGGTACCCCATCCCATACGTTGTATGCCTTCAGGTTGGGTTGCCTAGTAGCAGCAAAGATGGAGTTGTTGGACTGGGCAGTGCTGAAAAATGAAAATAAGGTGTTGGGAGCGGAGGTGGCTAGGCGGCCAACGCCGGAAAGGAGCACAGCCGCGTGAGAGGAGAAGGGGAAGGCGAGGACTGCCACATGGGCATCAGTGGTGGTTGTTTCCGGCATGGTTGGTAAGATTGGAAATATGGTAATGTTGGATGGTTCCAACGCTATTAAATACTATTAATTAGAGGATGGGGGTTGGCACGCGCGTTGATACAGGCCATTCATGATTTTGACATACAAGTGCAGTGCATCATATAACTGTTATTCCTTTCCTATTTTTGCACTTGCAGTACGAAGTGGGTTAGTAATGTATAGCAAAATCTCAGCTCATGTTAAGATTTAAAGCCTTTATAAATATTTTTGTGATATTCTATTTTTTCTCAAAATTTCATTGTGTTAAGGGAGAGAAAAAAAAAGTCCTTACACATGAATGACAGGTTATAACCTTTCCTTTTCTTCCTTCTTTTTCACTTGTGTCAATATTAGAATACAAAATTTTTAATTTTCAATTTTAAATTCTAATTACTAGAAATACATTTTTAAGATACTAGCATACTTTATAGTAATAATTCATTTACTCCTTAACAAGGTTGTTAGTCTTTTTACTAGCGACTATATGGGCTTCTTGGCTTATAGGTTTATAACGATTGAATTGCCATTGAAAACAAATAATTTTTAAAAGAGAAATTGTATCATTTTAGGTGATATTAATTTTAATGATTCATTCTTTTTAAGTAGTGATATATAGAAAGTCAAAAAAATTTATGCATAAATTAATTTCATTTATCATTTCAAAAATTAAAATATGTACTATCTAACTTGAATTTATATACGCCGGCGAAAAAGATAACCTTCAATTTTCATACTCGTACTAACTTCAATGGATAAACGCTATATATTTATATAAAGAGATGAAAAAAAAAAAAAAAACTTGTCATCACGAAAATTTTCTTATATGACTGGTGGCTGACTTTTGAGGCATTTAGTTTTGCTTCACTAGTTTAATCCAGAGATTGATGGATTATTCTCAAGAACGGAGAGTGATGCACGTGACGACCACCACCACGTGACAACCACCACGACGACCGGCAGGGAAACTTTCCTCATTTCACGTGTTTCATTATCAGCATTTCTTTTTAATATTTTTTGATGTATCATCATCAGCATTTCTTTCTTTTTTTTACTAAATTCTTATGTTTCTAAAAATTATATTAGATCATAATTAATTTAAATTAATTTAAAATTAAATCAAAAAAGTTCTTTTAATACTTACCTCTTTATTTATAAAATTTAAATTTAAAATTTTATTTTAAAAAAATCGAAGATTTTTTCTTTCCATGGTAACATTTTCTACTACTAATCCATAATAGTAGTAACATTTTCTACTACTAATCCATAATAGCTTGCACATGTACATTTATTCCCGCAATAATATTGTACAACTGTGTTTCCTCAAAATTCTTTTAGTAGCCTCGCACGTATGAAATCTGGATGCGGACGTGCCATTTACTTTGCTGAAAGTAAGAAATGAGGATTTTCCCAACGACTCTCTCCTTCCTCACGGTTGACCTCCTCGTGGATAACGGGAAGAACGTTAGATTAAAATTAAAATCTGCACCTATAAATGATTTGCAAGAGGGAGGGATACCTTCCTGCAGAATGAGTTGCGAAATCTACCTTGGACAACTCCAAGGAATTAAACACTACCGTGACTTAAAATTAACAAATCCTAATTGAACTAAATAACTTGCAATTTAAAATAAATTTGCGAGAATAAAATGTACTTAAATTAAATCAAACATGTTCATTATTAAATTAAAATACTATCTAATGGCAAATTTAGAATTTAAATTGCTGCAGAATTAAAGATTTTTTCCTAATTAATAGTAAAATGAATGTGAACAGTGCTTAAACTAACATGCTTGAAGTTGAAAAGAAGTGTGAACACCACATAAATAATCATTGAATAAAATGTTATTTATCATAAACATTAAATTAATTGCAAATAGAAAGAGAACAATACCTTGCATAAACTTGAAAGATTGAAGTTCATTGCATGAAAGGAAATTGTTGAATTGAATACATGAATTAATCTATCTACTGGGATGATGAAAAACAACCTAAATCTATTGGAGATTGTGTTGAAATCCAAAATCTGGAAGCAATTTGCAGAGAAAGTAAAGCCTGAAAATTTGCAGATATTTGAGTAGGGCTGGCCGTGTGTTCTCCCTTCCAAAATTTCCTTTTTGTTCTCCTTTGGCCGGCAGTAACCCCCCACTTTCTACAGTTACAAAGTTATGGGTGGTTTCTTGAGATAGTGGGACAACTCACCTATTGACTTGGTCTGATCTCTTTCCAGATTTTTGCCACCTATGTCCTTATCAAATAAAACCCCTCTTTAAATGCAATCATCTCTTATATTTTAGTTTAAACAGTCCCTTTTTGTCTCAAAGGAATAATTACACAATAAAATCTCATCTTTATCTCCCTTTTTTTGCCAAAATGATAGTTGATTTGTTATGAGACCTAGAATCACGAATCAGACATGGCTTAATCTCCTCCATCAATTTAAAAAATTTTGACATGTGTCATGATCCTAAATTTTTGCAATTTATGGTGTAAACAAGCTGTAATACTTATATAATAATATTACACACTACCTAGAATAAGATAAAAAAATATTTTGTAATTGAATGATTAATTAAAGTGTATTAATAATAAGATTAAAGTAAGAAAAAAAATTTATTCACCTTGAAAAATAATGAAAAAATAATAATTAATTTAAAATAAAATCAAAATAAAAATAATTATTTTTAAGATAAAGATAGTAAAATTTATCTCACAATAATAGTTTTTAAATTTTTTAAAAGAGATAAATATTTTTTTCTCTTCTTTGATTTTATCATTGTCTCTTAATTTTAATTATCTATTTTATCATAAAAAAACTCTTTTTATTTTCATTTCTTGGGTAAATTTGGTAAAAATAAAAAGGTTAAACCCCCAATTTAATCCTTTAATTATTATACAAACCCCTAATTTGATATCTAAATTTAAGGAATCCATCTTTCAATCTCTAAACTTAAAAAATTTGGCTGTTTTTTTTTTTTTTTTGTCCCTCCACTAAATTTTTTATGACATGGGCAGTTAATTGACGGAGAGGCATGACATGTCTAAAATTTTTTCCACGTAAGATTCACAGCACAAGTAAAATTATTGAATACAAAAAAAAAAAAAACCCAAAAAAGTTAAAGCCCTACAACTGCAAATCGTTTCCAGAGGTTTGTTCATATAGGAACTAGAACAGTGCATGGAGAATGAAGGCACATCAACACAGGAAAGAACATATCCAAATTCAAGCAAGAGAAACATCATAATCTACCGCAAGCAAGAGGAAAGAACACAAGCCATATAAAACAGATCAATATTTTATCTTTGAGCATAAAATTCAATTAAATAAGGAACACGACCACCTAAAATCATTGAAGCGAAACCATATATTAAAAAGTTCAATAAATCAAAATAAAATCAACATAACAAGGTAGAAATCACATTTAGGGGAGTTTTCTTCATATAATCAGCCCCTAAATTTATTTAATCCCCTTTTTCTATGCTATGATTTGAGGGAAAATGCCTCCAACTGAAGCTTGAATTGATTTTCATGTATATTAATGTGGCATTTCCATGTATTTTGCCTAGGTTTTGTCTCAACCTTCTTCTCCTCCTCCATCATTCCCCTCGTCTTCCTTGATGATCAATTTTTATATATAGTAAAATAATAAATATATACACCACAAAAGGAATAAGAAATGGACAGGTAAAGGGAGTAAAGGAATTGATCATACCGGAGGAAAAGGATAATTGTTTGTAACTTGAATTCAAATTTTAATAGAAATTAGCAGTTAATTAACAAATCAAATGACCAAAAGATAAGTCTATTGGTTTACAGATGTGTCCAAAACTAAAAGTCTATTCCTTTTGCTATATAAAGACATCTCATTAGTTGTAGAATATAGAAAACTTGAATTCTTGCTTTCCTGTGTCTCATCCTTCTCAAATTCATATTCAAACTCTTACAGAGAAGTACATAAGAGACCCTTGAGAATTTGCTGGTTAAGATTTTGGGTGGTTTTGTCAAATGCTGGAGGTGTTTTTGCCATCAACCGTATAGTAAACTCTAGTCAAGTGTGGGCAAAATTCACCCTAAAGACCGTGTATTCAACACGCCTCAAAACCACATATTTTAGTTCTTCAATCCATTACCGTCAACAATTCTTCCTATCGCCCTTCAATTGCTACAAAATTGGAGGCGTATCGATCTCCCCTATAATTGCACCAAACCAGAAGTCCTTCTTCAGTCCGCATCTTCACTTCGAATGTACCTGCAAAGCCCCGAGGTGGGTCCCCAGGGTAGACACTCCGATGCTTAAGTCAGCAATAATCGGGGCTACCTTTAAGGTGGAGATAAAAAGAGCTTAAGGTTGGTTTCAATTACCTTTCTGAGGTGGCCCCTGGGGGTATTTATAGGCCTTTGTGAGGTATCCACGTGGCTTGCTTAGCAGGATAATCGAAGTGTGACGTGTTCCTTAAGGAGATAAATTCGGGACTGGGAAATTAAGAGAAATTCTGGTGTGGGCATGCTCACGTAACTGTCATGCAGCTGTTTGACTAGGAAGTGCTTCACTTCGGTTATTAAGGAATTATAGCAATACGTCCGAGGTCCTTAACCTTGGACATATCCTTACACTATTCCCCCCTCGAAGTCATTCACTTGTGAATGATTAGTGTGGAAGATGAGTGTAGACGGGGGTAGTCAATATAAAAATGTATGACATGAAGTTGTGTTTTTGGCTGCAGTCAAGGTAAAAATGCATGACATAGAGTCATGTGTTTTGGGTCGTAGCCGAAGTAAAATTGATGACTCAATCATTGTGGCTAGAGCCGAAGTAATATAGGTGACGTGTGGTCACTATGGCTAGAGCCGAAGTAAAATAGGTGACTTAGGGTCACTATGGCTAGAGTCGAAGTAAAATAGGTGACTCGGGGTCACTATGGCTAGAGCCGAGGTAAATAATGATGACCGGAGCCGAAATAATAAGTAATGACCAAAGTCATGTGGCCGGAGCTGAGGTAATAAGTAATGACCGGAGTCATGTGGCCAGAGCCAAGGTAATAAGCAATGACCGGAGTCATAAGGGCCAGAGCCGAAATAAAAATAATGATTGAAGTCATGTGGTTGGAGCTGAAATAAAATGTGTGACTCGGGGTCACTGTGGCCGTAGCTGAAGTAAAGATGCATGACCCATAGTCATGTGTTATGATTGTAGCTGAGAATGATGACTTGAAAATGACGACTCGAAAGTGACGATTTGCAATCTCATGAGCCATAATAATGGAAGTCAGGCTTTTGAGAGTCATGCTTTATAGAGCTAGGATCAAAAACCAGTTTTTGTAGAGTTGATTGAATGCCAATTTTGGTAGCTGGAGATGCCTACCACAGAATCCCACCTTAAGATGCCCATAAGAAAATCTTAGTCTCTCGAGTCATAGCATAAAATCAAACCCCTTTGAGGGTTGTGCTTTGTAGAGTTAAGATTGAACTGAGCTTTCATAGAACAAATGAGCTGAGAAACTGATAGTTGATGGACGCAAGCTCTTGTAGATCGAATGGGCTAAAAAAGCCAATAGCTAATGGGCTCAAAGGCCAATAGTATTTTCTGATGAACTGATAAGTTTAAAAGCTGATAACATATTTCTGAGTCTTCCAAGCCAAGGAGTTAACAAACTCATGAGACTTGTAAGAATTAATTCTAAACATAGAACTTGACAAGATACCATTAGTTCATCAATAATCAACAATACATGAGATGCATCAACATTAAAGTGGCACAATAATTTAGAATTAAATATAAATGTCTGTGGCATGAGTCATCAAAATAAACAATAATAAGATATGAATATTTAAAATATACTCAGGTTGATTTATTCAAGCAGCAAATTAAACACATGCCAAGTAAAGTATAGAAGTTTATTTTTGTTGCTTATGTTTATGTATTCCCACTCCCCCTCTCAAAGAGAGATTTATCTCTTTAAGTTAGAACTAATAATAAAGACCACTAGCTCGTGGATACCATTTGTAGGAGGCTCCACAAATGATAAATAAATGTCATTTAAGCCACTCACTTTTAGTTAAAACATGAAGAATATATTCTAGCCCTCCTTCTAGTGCCATTATATTCAATATATTCAATAAATAGAGGCTTAGCATATCTTATTAATTAATGGCCCATGAGAGGTGGAACAGGATGGCTAGTGGAATGGCAAGTTGGCTGCAAGCTTGCTGACTTGAAAAGTTGGCGAAGTAAACCAACTAGCTACAAGCCGAGATCTCTAGAGTAGATTCAAAATGATTAACGTGGCTTTAGGAGGCTAAGTGCCAGTGTTTTAGATTTCTTTTTAGTTTATTGTATGCTTGTTCTAATAGACTACAGCCCACAGGGCCTCCACGCTATATAAAAGTTCATAATATATATATATATATATTCTTCATTGGGTGTTTTAGAAATTTTATTAGGTGACATCCTTGAATGTCTCACCTAACTTCATGGATCACCTTGGCTATTATATTGAAATATTTCAAGGTTTTCCTTATATTAACTAATCAACTAGACCTGAGCTTGGTTGTCATAAGGATGAGCTCAAGTAGTTGAGTTCATTTGAGGTTGTTTATCTCATCCAAGGTAGTTTAGCTCGAAATGGGTTGGCATGAGTATGAGCTCAAGTAGTTGAGTTCATCCAAAAGTGTTTACCTCATCCAAGGTAGTTCACCTTGGAATGGGTTGTGAGGATGAGCTCAAGTAGTTGAGCTCGAATTGAACTCATCCGAGGTTGTTTACCTCATCCAAGGTATTTCACCTCGGAATGGGTTGTGAGGATGAGCTCAAGTAGTTGAGCTCGAATTGAACTCATCCGAGGTTGTTTACCTCATCCAAGGTGTTTCAACTCGAAATGGGTTGTGAGGATGAGTTCAAGTAGGTTTTATGAACTTGTTTAAGTTCCTAAGTCAGCACATGAAGTTCCTGTTGTTAAAGTCCAAGGCTAACCATATTATATGATAAGGGTATAGATATATACACATATATTTCTTAAGCTCAGTATCACAGTTAATAGTTGTAATTAAAGTAAATTATAAAGCTGCACTTTTTAATCATAGGTTCCTATTAGAAGTCATAATGATGACTCTTCTCCCCCCTAAACCCACACATTTGGGGCTGGTAAACATAAACGTTGTAATCATAAATTACATTAGTTGCATTTTTATGCTTTAACATGTCCAATAAACAAGCAATCATGCATGTTGTAATAATAAGTCTTTCTAGCTTGTAAATATAGGAACAAAAATTGGACATGCAAAATAACTCATAAAAATCTTAAATGTGCAAAGTAATTTTGAAAATTTTAATATGTAACACTTACTTTACTTGCAGAGCAGAATTAATTTATACTTGAGAAAGAATTGTGCTTGATGAGATAGGAACTCGAGAAAGAATTTAGCTTCTTACAAATGATGTTAAATCCTTCTTGCTATGACTCGAGCAAATGTGGAGAGAAAAAATCTAGCCTCTCATAAATGATGCCAGAGAAGAAATTTACTTGATCATCTTCGTAGGCTATTGAGCTTTATGGTTAGGGCCTGCAGCCTTTTAAAATTGGATGGAGGAGTTGTTCATAGCTCGTATATAATTTTGATGGAGGAGCTCATCATAAAGGGATTTCTCTAGAATCCACCCCACATGGAGTCCCTGCACTTTTCCATCTCTAAAATAGCAACATATATTTATAATCATAAGTGCAAATGAGCAAAGTAGCATGATTATGATATATAAAAAATGAGATGGTAAAATGATATTATAAATGCAAAAACAAGTGCAAAATGAATGGAAAAATGTGGAATGAATGTAAAGAATGTGGAAAGCAATTAATAATAAATTTTAATAAGATTGGACCAAGCTTGGACCAAAGTTTTAATTTGCTGCGGAGCTCAATTCTTTCTTGACAACCTATATCACAAGGACTTGAAAAGAGGAGAAATTAAAGCATCCAGTCTTATAATCAAGAAAATATATTGTGTAAAATAAATAAAAGAAAAAGATTGTGAGTTCATCTTTTTTAATTTTCAAAGCAATACATGACTAATGAATTAAATTTATATACATATTAATGTAGAATCTATGCCTTGATATTATTGATATTTGAATGAGTTGTATGAAAATTTATGTAATTGTATATAACATACATCCTATGTAGAAAAGGATTTAATTAGAAGATGTCATAATTTTTAGGAATAAATTGCAAAGATATGAAATTTGAGGATTAAATTATGCAGAATCCAAAAGTAAGGGGTCGGGACTGTAATTTTTTACCGTTAACAAAATTTGCAGAGAAGGACAAAAACCCGACACGGACTCTTCAGGACGAATGCAGGAAAAGTGTCGGCACCTTGTTGAGGGTGTTGACACCTTGTAGCTCGTGCTGCATATCTTTCAACTCATGCTCGTCCTCTGCACCTCGTGTTCAAGTTCTGCACTTCATGCTCGGCCTTTGCAGCTCGTGGCTGACCTTGGCAGTTAAGTGTTTGACCTCTGCAGCTCGTGCTTGAGTTTTGCGCTTCGTGTTCGACCCCTGCACTTCGCACTCGACCTCTACAGCTTGTGTTCGAGCTCTGCAGCTCATGCTCAACCCCTGCACTTCGTGCTCAACCTCTACAGCTCATGTTTGAGCTCGGCAGCTCGTTTGGAGCCCTGTAGTTCGTGCTTGACAGCTTGTGCTATACAACTCGTGCTCAACAGCTCAAAAGATCTTGCCCGAGTTCTGCATCGTGCTTGTGAGCTCGGCAACTCGTGCTTTTGAACTCAGTAGCTCGCAGCTCATGTTCTTGCAGTTCGCTTCTCATGCTCCTGCAATTCCCAGCTCGTGTTGCAGCAGGGACTTTACAGCTCGTTATTGTCAAATTTCCATGGGATAATAACTCCAAATGGCTTGCTCGTTGCAGCTCGTTATTCACAGCTTCATTGGCAAATTTTTCAAGCCTCCAAATGGTTCGGTGATGCTACGTGGGCGGTTGAATGCCTCTGCTCTCAACTGACCATGAGATGAGACTACTGGCTTTTCAGAGCAGTATGTGTGTTCTCGGTAGTGGTTTAACTGTCATCTTGAAGGGTGGTGTCCAGTACCTCCAGAGCCTCTATCTCTAACACTACCATCAGCGTTTTCTGTCATTGGAACCATAGTCTTTTGTTCCCTAACAGCTGATTGGAGGGATTTAATTTGTTACTGGCAAGCTGCCTAGTCAGGGACTTATCCCTTGGATTCTGCAAAAACAAATTCAAAATAGAGGAAGATTCCAACTTGCTTTACAACAAAAGAAAATAAAACAATATATAAGAAATATAGTGAAATAATAAAAGATTGAGATTATCTCCCTAATAATCACAAAGTGGTAACCAAACTCAAATGGTTTATTGCCCAAGGAAGGTGCTTGTGGTTGGAACTCACGTCTTCCCAGTGGTTTCATAGAGTGTTGTTAATTTGTTGCAAGTATGGGCTAACCATCATCATATTATGTTGATTGCTCGCGTCTTCTTCAACGAGCTTCATTACAAATTTGCTCAGTGCATGCCACCGAGCTGAGAGACTGCTTCGCTGCTGTCGAGCTGGATTGCCTTGCTTCTGTTGAGCTGGAGTACTGCTGAGCTTTGCCGCTGCCGAGCTGGACTGTTTTGGTGCTGCGAGCTGGGCTGCTTTGTTGCTGCCGTGCTTGGCTGTTGTGTTGCTACCGAGCTGGGCTGCTCTGCTGCTACTGAGCTGGAGCATTGCTTTGAACTTTGCCGCTGACGAGCTGGGCTACTCTACCGCTGCCGAGCTGAACTACCTCGCTTCTGCCGAGCTGGAGCATTATTTTGAGCTTTGCTGCTGAGTTGGGTTGTTGTGCTGCTGCTGAGCTAAGAGACTGCTGCTGATGCCATCAAGCTCGAACTCATCTTCTCATTGAGGGCAATAACACGCCTTTTGGCTGAGAGGTGAGGCTGTAGTTCTTCATGAGCAGAGGACAATGGTATTTGAGCATCTCGGACTATGACAAGGTTGGAAGGCTTAAGGCGTTGGCGGATGGCGCGGGTGGCGGCGAACCTCCAGCCTCCTCCATTGATTGAACTCTGTTGATCACGTCTCGTCTGAGCTGTGCTTGTTTCACTCCGGCTCTGCTATCCTACGCGGTGAACCTCCGACCTCCTCCATTGATTGAACTGTGTTGACCACGGCGCCTCTGATGTAATTTACTTCACTCCGTCATTGCCACTAGGAGAAGAATCGTCACTAATCTCTGGCATTTTTGCTTGGAATTGGTTCTGAATCTTCAGCATGGAAGAATTCAGGAGGGTCATTCGGCAGTCTGGACCACCTGAGTGTTTTGCTCTTCAGGCAGTTCAAGAAGTTATAAAACCTCATAAACAAATAAAATTAGCATGGGATGAGATCAATTGCTGGAGAATATGCTTCGGACATGACTCCAGGAATTGGCATCATCAGCAGTTCAGTCAGTAGAGGAAGTCATGCAGTATGGAAAGTCAATTGATGATGGAGAAAATATGCAAGGTGTCATCCCATGCCTTCTGGACATTACTCCAGGAATTACCAACTAAATAGAGGGGAAGTACATCCATGATTGAAGAATAGAGGGGCACATAATTGCCATAGCTGAAACAGGAGGAGCTTGGAAGAAAAGGGATATATATATATTTTGGGAACTTTCATGGTCCGTGCTCACCACTTCTTCCCTTTCTTTTCTCTCTCTTTTTTTTTGTCTTTTTCTTTTTCTTTATTTATTATATATACATATATATATTTACTATTTTGACTTGCCTTAAACATGTGCTTTACTGACACCTTTTTTCCTTCTTTGAATATTCGTGGCTGAAATTACACCATACGTACCTTTTATTTTATGAAATAGGCTCTCGATAATTGTGTGAAGCTGAACCTCGATAATTGTGCAAATCTACTCCTCTGTTTATCTTCTTGTGAAAGCTTCTCTTCTTTACAAGCGAATAAACCCATTTTGTAAATTTATCAGATCTATTTTGTGAAAACTTCTCTTTTTCATAGGTGAACAAACTCACCCTGTAAATTCATCAGATCTACTTCTGCAACTCAAAAGAATAGGCAAATTCATCAGATCTACTTTTGCAACTCAAAAGAATAGGCCATGGGCCTTTCACTCATCTTCTCTTCCCTTCGATCAACCGGATCAACATACAAATAAAGCTTTTTATTCGAGTTCCCACAGACGGCGCCAATGTAATTGCACCAAACCAGAAGTCCTTCTTCAGTCCGCATCTTCACTTCGGATGTACCTGCAAAGCCCCGAGGTGGGTCCTCGGGGTAGACACTCCAATGCTTAAGTCAGCAATAATCGGGGCTACCTTTAGGGTGGAGATAAAAAGAGCTGAAGGTTGGTTTTAATTACCTTTCTGAGGTGGCCCCTGGGGGTATTTATAGGCCTTTGTGAGGTATCCACGTGGCTTGCTCAGCAGGATAATCGGAGTGTGACGTGTTCCTTAAGGAGATAAATTCGGGACCGGGAAATTAAGAGAAATTCTAGTGTGGGCATGCTCACCGTAACTGTCATGCAGCTGTTTGACTAGGAAGTGCTTCACTTCGGTTATTAAGGAATTATAGCAGTACGTCTGAGGTCCTTAACCTCGGACATATCCTTACAGAAACCAAGGGGAATTAGAGTAAACCCAAGCCGAATCAAGTGAGAAAAGAGGAATTTCGCGTTGCTTCTTACCAAAAAAACCTGAAAATTCGCCACCCACCCACCAACAAGTCGCGGACAACAAAGGGAGGAAGACGCAGAGCAGAACAGATCTGGAAATTTCTGCGTTTAGAGAGAATTCTAAGCCCCAAATCTTGTGATTGAACAAGAAAGAAGGAGAAATTTCAAGCTTTCTACCAGTTTCCTCAGAAAATTGTTGCCGGCAGCTTGGTTCTTTTTTTTTTTCTTCTTTCTGGTGGGCTGCAACGGGGAAGAAGATGACCTGTGTGGGTGAGGAAGAATTACCAGCCTTACCCCTTTTTATCATAATTTTTCTCTTTTAAGTCCCTCAAGTTTGGAAATGTTGACTATTAAGCCCAAAACAATATTTTCTCTCACAAAAACCCTTACTTAAATGCTAAAATATCACAAAATTTTGGGATATTACAAATAGTGACTACTCCCTTTTTTCTCCTTTCTCTCTTGAGAAACTTTTGCACAAAGAGTAACAAGCAAGGATAACTCAATTTATAGGTTGAGGACAAATATTTGAAATGGATTTACAAATTTTTAACGTAATAGCATTAATATGAATGAATTAATTACTCCTTTTATAAAAACAAAATTTAATTAATTATTACAGTGAAATATAAATTGTCATCTCCCTTTCATTTACCTTTCGTTTTGGATTTTAAATAATAAATTAAATTTCATTTTAAAAACAAAGCTTGTATTCTGATCCCAGAATACCACGGGTATTAAATTGTTTTAGAATTTTAGTATCATTTTTGAACTTTCATTTAATTTTTAAATCATACCCTAAATATAGTTTTTACTACCCCAAAACTAATATTATTCCATCCAATTGAATCATTAATTCTCTTTTTATTGCGTATCAATTTTTTACGAAAATAATTTCCTTAATTGATCATTAAAACAATAATAAAATACTTTTGAAAATTTTAAGTTAAGAAGGATCATATTATTAGAGCACTGTAGAATCATTAATGCAATTGTCTAGATCATCATTACAATTAAGTTCTAAACATATATATAGCACTTGAGTGTCCTCAAGATTAATTTGGAGTATGTCGATCAGGGTAATTTTTTGCGGAAAGGCAATGATCAAATGCTAGAATAAGAATAACATTATGTGTTTTAGAAAAGTAAAATTGTCAAATCCTCTAAAATTAACATAAATAATGAATTGATTGTTTTCCTTTCTTAATCATTACTAACAGTCTAACACACGGCTTATATTATTATTGATCTAATTTACGCAATTCTTTTTCAAGTTCATACATAAATCACTAAATCAATTAAAAGACGATCAAGCTTTTAATACATTAAATTAAATAATATAAACTTCTCATGCGAATAATTTTAATTGAAAGTATAAAATCACAAAATCTATAATAAATTGATTAGACTACATTGTAGCCCTAACAAAATAAATTACTTCATAATAAAAATAATAAAATTTAAAATCATAGTTATGAATATAATAATATTAAGAAAGAATAAAACCTAATTTGAGCAAATTGAAATCCTTGATCTTCTATTGTTGATGGATTTTTTATCTTGATCTCCAAGAATGCCCAAAAGAAGGTTGCCAACAGCCTCCAAATCTCTCTCAATTCTGAGTTTGGATGGGTATTTATAGGATTTTGGAAACCTTAATTGGAATAAAAATAAGACCCACACCAAAAATAATAAATTAGACATGAATTTATGAAAATCACGTAAAGGGTCAACACCTTCAACTAGGTGCCCGACACCTTCTGTTAAGCGTAGGCAACCCCGTGCCAAGTTTTTGGCCTTCTAAGTAATTTTTATTAATAGTAAAAGACAATTATGTTCCCTAACTTCTGAACTCTGCACAACTTAATCTATAATATCCCAAATTTTTGGGAATTTTATCATTTAAGTTAAGGACTTAATTGTGAGGAAATAATATTGTTGGGCTTAATCATCAAAATTTGAAACCTGAGGGACTTAAAAGAGAAAAGAATTGGATAAGGATGGGCTGATTTTTTTCCTTCTTTCTTTCTTCTTCAGCCCGCGTGTTCTGCTCTTCTTCTTCTCCCCTGCATCGAGCAAGGAAGCCCAGCCACCGACGCACCTCCCTTTGAGAAATCGGTAGAAAAAGCTTGGTTTTTGGCTTTCTTTTCCTGTTCAAGAACCAAATTTAGAGCTTAGAAATCTCCCCCCTGCAGAAATTTCCAGATCTACTCTGCTCTGCTCTTCTTCCCCTGTCCGTCGGTTTCTGCTGGGTGCAAATTTCTGGGCATTTTTCAGTAAGCTACAGTCATGGATCTCCTCCTTTTAGCCTTAATTTAACTTGGGTTACTCTAAGTTCCTTTTGTTCCTTCAATTTTGGGTTAATTTCGTGAGTCCCCTGCAGAATTGCCGCCGACTTCTTTCCCCCACCAGGTCCGGTTCTGCAACTGGAAAAATTCTAGTATGTAACAGCTACAATAAGTTCAAATTTTTAGTCCATTTAGCTGTTGTTTTGTTGAATTTATCCATGTAGTGGCTGCCCTTGCACTATCCGAAACTATGTTGAAAAATGAGGATGAATTTCGGTAGTAATTAGAGCATAATTAAGCTTAATTCATGTATAAATTGCTTGAGTTGGCTGCTGTGATTTTGGAGGAAAATCCCGAGTGTTTTAGCCCCTGTTTTTGCCAAAGCCGTGCTCTTCCCTTTTGCTGTGAGATTGGAAAACCATTTATATATGTATTTGTGTATATAAATATATATATACACAATCCGGTCAATAAAATTTCTTTATAAATATTAATTTTGATATATTTTGATTAGGTTCTTGATAATTGCCCTAGCACTTGGGTCTAGTCGTCTGTTTTACATGATTTGAGGCAAGTAAATTATGGTAATGCCCTTCGATTTTAAAGCACATTTTAGCTTGTTCTGAAGTAGTGGCGGGACTAAACCCGTTTTACACAAGTATGATTGATTGGAAATGAAATTATTATTCTTTTTATTGATTTGAGCATGCCTACTTGGAGTTTGCTTAACTGCCCTAATGATTTGAGAATTTTTTTGTAAATTATGATTTTCCTGTTAAATCCATGCCCACATGGAATTTTTTCGGTTTATTCTTGGAATTTGAGATTGATCGTGAATCATGGATTTTTCTGTAAATCTTGCCTAGTTTTGTCTCTGATATGGTTATGTTATTCATGTGCCCGCTAGTGGGAGGTTTATAAACACTAGCACATGTCGACATGTTACTGATAGAACCGATTCGTTTATGTTACTGTTATTCTGCTAGTGGGATTATACACTAGTAAATCGTGTGGTCCTAGTGGGAGGTCTATAACACTAGCCATGACCTATAGAGGAGACGTCTATTTTGTTTCCGTACTTGTATCTCTTTTTCGTGATTATACTGGTTGGCATGTTATAAGTTTAATTAAGGGCTATCCATATTTACTTACTGAGTTTTTTCGTAGTTTTTCCTTGTCCATTATTTCAAGAAGTGAAGTCAAGGACGAGGAAAAATGAGGGGAGTGACGAGTTAGAAGGCTAGCCATCTTGTAAATTGAACATAAATTTTAGATATAAATCATGATCTTGTAAGCTAGACTTTATTTGGAGATTTATGATATCAGGGCAAATTTTATAATTTTATCTTTAGATTTTGTGGTATCAGATTGTGGTATAATAAAGTTTCGAGCCTTGTGCATTTGGGACCTTCTCACAAGTGTACGTGTATGCCACGTCCCCGGATTTGGGTTCTGAGGCGTGACATAATCCTTAACTTTTTGATCTCTGTAATTTACCCCTAAGAATTATGATTTATTCTAATTAAATTATTTCCTACATAAATAATAAAAATTATGTAAAATAAAGTAAAATTTTATAAAACACATCCAAATATTAATAATATCAAGGCAAAAATTTAACATTAATATCTATATAAATTCAGCTTATCAGTCTACATAGAAATTAACTAGGATCAAAGGATCAATTAAGCATGGGAAAGGTATTAGGCATCCCATAACTTCCATATAATATGGTTACCATATACTTTAAATTTGGAGAATTTTCAACTTTTATCAAAAATAATAATTACCAAAAATAAACAAGAAATCACTTAAATCTAAAAAGAAAAAAAAATCTTCGTCATTGTCTTCTCTCTTTTTTTTTTTTTGTTTCTTTATTTTTTTTCATCCGTTTTTCGTCACCTTGGCTCTCTTTTCGTTTTGTTCTTTTTTTATGCCATCTAATGCATTCCTACATGCAACTAACAACAAATACTAAGACTTCATGAATAAAATGAAATCGACCACCACTGACAATCTTCCAGTAACAAGACAATGATTATATTTTCTCATAAAGAAAATCATATGCAACAAAGATATATCCAATACAGCACCATGTATGCAATCTTTAATCTTTCCTATATTTTCTTTTTAAGAAAAAAAATCAGTAAACATCTCTCTTCTTGTAATCATTGGTGAACAAAACATGGAAAAGAAACAAACTAATAGGGAGACCAAAAAAATAACGTATAGCATAGAAAAGAAGAAAAGGAAAACATATCAAGTGAATTAGGCATGATCTCTATGAACAAAATTCAAACTCCAAATCCTTTCCTGTTCTCATATTTAAAAAAAAAAATGCCTGAAGAAGAAGAAAAGAAATCCAATCTTATTTATTTGCAGAAGACTTAAAGAATACAAGCTTTTCTTTCTTTCCTCTTTTATCTCACACCCTTCTCTATCGACCCTCAATGTTTGCTCCAATTCTTCCCCAATTTCTCTTTGCCTTTCTCCCCTTTTTCTCTCTCTCAATCTCCCAGATTTCTTCCCCCCTTTTTTCTTGTTTTCCTCAGCTGGCTAAAGCCCCTTTTATAGACAAATGGAGAAAAAAAAAAAAAAAAAACCAAATTCTTTTCTAATTCTAAGTCCTAATCTAAATCCTTGAATTATAGATAAAATCCCAAATCCTTCTCTAATTCTAAGTTCTAATCCCAAATCCCTAAATTACACATCATAATATAATTATATTCAAAGTTAGAATTCTAAGAAAATTAATTCTTAACGTATTTTCCTTCTTCCAAGCCTAGATTCATGCCTCTTAAAAATCAGGACTCCCCAATTTGAATCGACTTTGAAATCTTCCTCTACAATTCTTGTCGAAGACTTCTAATTCAAAAATTTCTACATACTAATGTCATAATCTATCCAAACTTTGAGTAGATTTAGGGGTAACAAAAAGAATTTGTGAAATTTTGGAGAAGCTGGTGGCAAAGCAAGAAGAATCAGGAACTTTGAAAAGTTAGGGTTTAACTGAACCCTAGCCTTTATTTTTTATTTTAGCCCATTGGCAAAATAACATCGTTTTGCCATTTCCTTCTCTTAGCCCTTCATGTTTTCAGTTTTTTACATAATAAGCCATTGGCTTTCATTATCCATTCCTTGGTTAAAATTGGGTTATGACACATGTAGCACTTGAATGTCCTCAAAATTAATTTGGAGTAAATCGACTAGTGCAACTTTTGTGGAAAGGCAATGATCAATTGTTGGAACAAGAGTAATATTATCTGTTTTTGAAAAATAAAATTGTCAAAACCTTTGAAACTAAAAAAAAATAATGTATTGATTGTTTTTCTTTCTTAACCATTATTAACCGCATAAATAATTGTATATAACCTTTCTAGAATAGTTATTGTTTAATAATTATTAAACAATTTACTTCTTGATCAATGTGATGTTGTTTAGTTCTAATTAAATTTAATAAAAAAAATTTATAAATTTTATTTGTTTATTTTACTATTTCAAAATTTTTATTGAATGAAATTTAAACTTTAATCTCAAACACTTTTTTTTATTTGCCCTTTCAAAAGCCGTTAGCAATTTCACTCCCTTTTGGGTGCCACTACCCATCCTACAAAATTTTTCTCTTTCTTCGAATTCCTTGCCCCAAAAATAAACAAATAAAAAAAGGTTTTTATTAATTTTCTTTAACTCAAACTAACACGTTAAGCATGCATGCCAATAGTTTAGAAATGATTTCACAGCTCAAGCCCATTGAACCCTTGAAATTTTCAATTTAGATCTTGAATTGTACAATGGGATTGAAACCTACCTTGTACCACCACCCACCACCTATGCGTGTTGCACATCTATAACCCTAGACCTTTTACTTCAAAAGAAGGATATTACCACTTGGTCACTAACATCACTAGTGACTAAATCTCCAACATAAATACTATAAATGGCAGTCAAACCCTTAAATCATTAAACAAAAGGGAGAAACAAATCAAAAGTCTAACAGCAAGGTTTTAACAAAAGGCAACAGCTCAAAGTTTTGGATGAAAATATTAAAACAACATAATAGCCTCAACAAAAGAAGTACTTAAACCCAAAAAAATGAAGAACATTCTTAGCTGTATGAATGCTTCTTGTAGCAATCAATCCATGTATTTGTGACTCACAGAAGACATTTGAGATATGATCATTTGTATTGTAATATATGAAGTAATAGTTTAATAAATACGAATTTGATAAATTAAGAAACAATTGACAATTTCCTATTAATTGTTTTTGTTATTGTCTTTTGCATCGAAATTTCAAAAGTGACCCTTTTAATATTGTTGACCAAAACACGTTATTTACAGCTATATTACTAATTACATAAAGGTCACTTTTACAACTGCTGATTAGTAACAATTAATTTTGAAATTTAAACAAGGAAAGGAATTAGTGAAACTAAGGCACACTTGTTCTACACTTGCTTGCTCTTTGCCAAAATCATCAATGGATTCTTGTTTTTGAATTCAAGATATTGAAGAGACTTCAATACAAATGCATTGTGACAATTTTGACCTAATACTTTGAGTGTTGACAACATTTATCGATTACAATTCCATTCTTAAAATGCTATCAAAAACGTCAAGCGCACATTTTGCTTCCATCTTAGTTTCAAAGCTGTACTTTTCAATGGTAAAGTCAAGATCTTCTACAGCCATAACTGCTCCAGTTGCAACAAACAAAACTAGCAGCACTGAATAAATACTGAACTTCACTATGGTGTTAAAAAATACTGACTACTTCCCTTTTTTTTCCTCTCTTGAGGAACGTTAGCACAAAGAGTAACAAGCAAGGATAGTTCAACTTATAAGTTGAGAACAAACGTTTGAAATGGATTTAAAAATTTTTAAAGTAATAACATTAATCTCAATGAATTAATTACTCCTTTTATAGAAACAAAATTTAATTAATTATCATACTGAAATACAAATTATCTTCTCCTTTACATTTACTTTTCATTTTGGATTTTAAATAATCAATTAAATTTCCTTTTAAAAATGGAGCTCGTATTTTGATCTCATAATACCACACGTATTAAATTGTTTTAGAAGTTTAGTATCATATTTGAACCTTCATTTAATTTTTAAATCATACACTAAATATATTTTTTACAACCCCAAAACTAACATGATTCCATTCAATTAAATCATTAATACTGTAATATTTCAAAATTTTGTAATATTTTAGCATTAAGTTAAGGACTTGATTGTGAGGAAAATATTGTTTTGGGGCTTAATAGCAAAATTTGCTAAGTTGAGGGACTTAAAAAGAGAAAGAAATTGGATAAGGATCAGCTTCTTTCTTTTTCTTTTTCTCTTCTTTCTTTTCTTCCTCACCCGCGCGTCTGCTCTTCTTTTCTTCTCCCCTGCAGCCGACAAAGCCCCCAAGCCCGACAGCCCTCCCATGAAGGAAAAAACCGGTAAGAAAACCTGAAATTTCTCCTTCCTTTATTGTTCAAGAACAAGATTTGGAGCCTTGAAATCTTCCCCCTGCAGGAAAGCTTCAGGATCCGCCTTGCTCTGCTTCTTCACCGCCGGTTGCTCCTGCCTTGTGGGGGGCGAATTGGCCTGGTTTCTGGTAAGAAACAGCCCCTAATTCCTTTGTTCTTCCTTGAATTGGCTTGGGTTAACTTTGATTTCTCTTGGTTTCTCTAATTTTTGGGTAGATTTCTCGAATTTCCCCTTGAATTTTCTGCAATTGCCGTCGGCTTCCTCACCAGCCAAGCCCGGTTTCTACAGCTGGAAATTCTGGTATGTGGCAGCCCTTTAAGCCTAAAATTATCCATTTAATTGCTGCCTTGTGTGTTCGAATTTTGCTGGAAAAATGGGAGGAATTCCGGTAACAATTAAGAGCATTTTAAGTGTGTTTTGTTGCTTAATTCATGTAGAAATTAGTTAATTAGTTCCTGTGAGAATTTGGAGGAAAATTCCGTGTGTTTTAGCCCCTGTTTTTGCCAAAGTCATGCTCTCCCTGCTGCCCGTGAGAAATGGGGGGAATTTTGGTAGCTTAAGCTATGTTTTTAAGCTTGGTTTAAGTGTAAATTAGCTTGATTTGGGTTGTTGTGAATTTGAAGAAAAATCCCATGAATTAGCTAGTGTTTTGGCCAATTTTTGGAAATTGTAGTACTGTTTACGGTACTGTTTATCGGGTACTGTTCACGGACTGATGGCCAACAATTAATGGGGATTAAATGATTAGTTGTAATATAAGAATAAATTTGGAGATATTTGATCATGGGAGATTGATAGGAATAGCATCGTGATTAGGGGGTAGTCATGGTGATTTTACTTTTGAATCCGTGGTATGATAGTTAATTCTTGGGTATTTTGATTAGGTTCCTTATCGTTCTTTTAGTTTAACACTGGGATCGAGTCTTCGGTTTTATGCGAGTGAGGTAAGTAAATTTATGGTAATGCCCATATAGTTTTTAAAAGCATGTTTTGATTTGTTTTTGAAGTGGTGGCGGAACTAAACCCGTTTTACACAAGTATGATTGATTTGAAGTGAAATTTTTATACTTTTCATTAAATTGAGCATGCCTACTTGAAATTCAATTGATTGTCCTGATGATTTGGAAGTGATTGGTGAATTATGATTTTTCTGTTAACTTCTGCCTGTTTTGTCTCCGATGTAGTCATGTTATTAGTGACCCTGCTAGTGGGGGAGTTTATAAATGCTAGCACATGTCGACATGTATTTTTGTAAAGCCGGTTCCTCCTGCGAGTGGGAGTTGTTAAACACTGGTATTTCAGTGACCCTGCTAGTGGGGATTATACACCAGCAAATAGTGTGCCTGCCAGTGGGAGGTTTATAACACTGGCCGTGACCTATAGAGGAGACGTCTATTTCGTTTTCGTACTGTATCCGTTTTTCGTGATTACACTTGTTGGCATGCTATAAGTTTAATAAGGGGCACTCTATATTTTACTTACTGAGTTTATCTCATAGTTTTTCCTTGCGCACTATTTCAGGAAACGAAATCGAGGACGGGGAAACCACGGGAAGTGACGAGTTAGAAGGCTAGCCATTTCGAGATTGATATAGATTTTAGAAATAAATCATGATCTTGTAAACTAGACTTTATTGGAGATTTATGATATTAGAGCAAATTATAAAATTTGATCTTCAGATTTTGATGGTATCAAATTGTGGTATGATAAGTTCCGAGTCTTGTACATTTGTGGGACCCTCTCACGAGTGCACAGTATCTATCGCGTCCTTGGATTTGGGTTCTGGGGTGTGACAAATACTCTTTTCATTATTAGTTTACACAAATAGTTTCCTTAATTAAACATTAAAATAATAATAAAATACTTTTGAAACTTTTAATTTTAGAAGCATCGTATTATTAGAGCACTAGAGAATCATTAATGTAATTATCTAGATCATCACTACAATTAAGTTCTAAACATATAGCATCTGAATGTTCTCAAAATTAATTTGGAGTATATTGACTAGTGCAACTTTTTGTGAAAAGGCAATGATCAATTGTTGGAACAAAAGTAACATTATTTGATTCATAAAAATAAAAAAAAATCGTCAAAACCACTGAAACTAAAGAAAATATTAAAACAACATAATAGCCTCAACAGAAGAAGTACTCAAACCCAAAAAAATGGAGAACATTCTTAACTATATGAACGCTTCTTTGTACCAATCAATCCATGTATTTGTGACTCACAAGAGACATCTAAGATATGATCATTTGTATCATAATATTTGAAGTAATAGTGTAATAAATAAGAATTTGATAAATTAAGAAATAATTGAAAATTTCCTATTAATTATTTTTGTTAATGTCTTTAGTGCCAAAACTTCAAAAGTGGCCCTTTTAATATTATCAACCAAAGCACATTATTTAAAGCTATATTATTGATTACATAAAAGTGGCTTTTACAACCGTTGATTGGCAACAATTGATTTTTAAATTTAAACTAGAGAAGGAATTGGTGAAACTAAGGCACACTTGTCCCATGCTTGCTCTTTGCTAAAATCATTGATGGATTCTTATTTTTGAATTCAGGATTTGAAGAGACTTCAGTACAAATGCATTGTGACAAATTTGAGTTCTTGACAACATTTATCAATTATAGTTCCAGTCTTGAATATGCGATCAAAAATCTCAAGTGCACATTTTGCTTCCATCTTTGTTTCACATCCATACCTTTTAATGATAAAACTCAAGATCTTCTACAGCCATAATTGCTATAGTTGCAACAAACAAAACTAGTACCACTAAATAAATACTAAACTTCACCATGGTGCTAAAAAAAACTAACTACTCCCCTTTTTTTTTCTCTCCCTTTTGAGAAACCTTAGTGTAATATCCCAAAATTTTGGGGATATTTTAGCATTAAATAAGGGATTTATTTGAGGGAAAATATTATTTAGGGGCTTAATAGTCAAATTTTTAAAAGTTGAGGGACTTAAAAGAAAGGAAATTAGGATAAGGATGAATTGCTTTTTCTTTTCCTTTTTTTCTTTCTTTTTCTTCTTTCTTTCCTTCCTCATCAGACCCGCGTGCCCTGCTCTTCTTCTCCCCCGACCCTCTGCACTCGACGAGCCCACCTCGTCACCGCCACCCATTTCCGGTCGGAAATCCGGCAAAGCTTGGGGATTTCTCCCTATTTTCTTGTCTTAGAACACCTAGTAAACCCAGAAATTCCCCCTCTTTGCTGGAAATTCCAGATCTGCGCTGTCTTCTTTCCTTTGTCCGTCGGCCTCTGCTTGTGTGGGTGTGAATTCTCGGCTTTTCTGGTAAGAAACAGCCATGATTTCATCCTTTTAGCTTTGATTAAGTTGGGTTCCTTTAATTTTGGGTAAATCCCGTGAGTTC